ACAAATTAACTTGAAGACAATAATGTGATGACAATAAGTTGCAGAAAAGAGTGAATGATTTAAATGTTTCATTGCATTTAATATCTTCACATGACCCCTAAACATGATCTCTTAGATTCCATATATGCCTATACATGTATATTTATTCATAAACTTTCAGGTACTCCTTTTGCCACACACTCACTCATGCACACTCACTTATGGGTATTATAATTAAAAATAATAAAATATCTTCTAGAAGTTAATCTTTAAGGAAAAAGTAAAATTTAACATTTACAGAATTCATAAGAATATCTATAAAATTTATAAATAAATTGCAAACATTCTAAATATAACTTTCTGCAGGCCAATGATTTTTAACTTGCTGATGTGAAAATATATAACTTCAGCTTTTTGGAAGAGTGAGCATATGTAATGATGCCTCAAGAACTCTTGCAGAGCTTCCACCTTTCCAGGCAAACAAAAAAAAAATCATCATTTATATCTTATCAACATCCCAGAGGTTATTCTTTTTGTTAAAATTTTTAAATTTTATGTAAGTTAGACAAGTTTCATGTTTTTCATATATGCATATTTAGAAAAAATGATACTTCTCACCCTACCCTCCCTCTAGCCCATGCTCCACCACTTCCTCCTCCACCCTTGCATATCCCACTCTTAATTTTTACAAAGGTTGATTTTCAATTTACTTAATGATCATATAGTAAATCCTACACTTAGTAAAAGAGTTCAATGGTTTGAAGGAAAAAAAAAAGCATTGTTCCTCAATAGAAGAGACAGTGCTGTAGCAATCATTGAATCATGAAATGTCTATTTCACTCCAATATATCATATTTCAGGTACTCTGCTAGTTACCTCAGATCAGGGGAAACGTGTTATCTGTCTTTTTGGGACTGGCTTATTTCACTAAGTATAATGGTTTCCATTTGCATCCATCTTACTGGAAAAGACAGGATCTCATTTATTTTTACAGCTGAGTCATATGGCATTGTGTGTATATATCGTAATTTCTTTATCCACTCAACAGTTTATAACATCTTGTTTTGATTCCATATCTTAGCTATTGTGAATTGTGCTGCATGAACATGGAGGTAGATAACAATTTCATATGCTGGTTTCATTTCTTTGAGTAAATTCCAAGTGGAAGGATGGCTGAACCATTATGGTAGGTCTATATACAGATATCTGAGGTATCTCCATATTGTCTTTCACTGTTGTTGTGCCAGTTTACATTCCCACCAACAGTGGGCCAGGGTACTTTCTCTCCACATCTTCACCAGTATTTGTTGTTTGATTTCTGTATGAGGGCCATTCTAATTGTAGCAAAGTGAAACCTCATTGTGGTATTGATTTGGTATTGATTTGCATCTCTTTCATGATTAGAGATCTTGAGCATTTTCTCAAATGTCTGTTGCCTATTTGAATCTCCTTTCTTCAAAAATGCCTGTTCAAGCTCTTTGCCCATTTCTTAACTGGGTTTTTTGTTTTACTGTTGTGGAATTTCTTGAGCTCTCCAAAGATCCTTTATCAGCTGTGTAGTATGCAAATATTTCCCCCATTGTGTTTGTTCCTCTTCACTTTGCTGTTTCTTTTGTAGAGAAGAAGCTTCTAGGTTTGATACAATCCCATTTGTCAATTTTGGCTTTTATTGCTTGTGCTTCTGGGGTCTTTCTTTTCCAAGAAGTATTTATCTATCTCAAGGTCTTGCAAAGTTTCCCCAATGTTCTCTAGTAATTTGATGGTATCGGTTTGTAGATTTAGTTATTTGATCCTTTTTGAGTGGATTTTTGTGTAAGGTGTAAGGTATGGGTCAAATTTCATATTTCTGCACATGGGGATTTAGTTTCCCCAGCACCTTTGCTAAAGAGACTGTCATTCTTTTAGGGATTTATTTTTGCCTCCTTTGTCAAAGATCAGTTGGTTGTGATTGCATGGTTTGATTTCTGAAATTTCTATTGTATTCCATTGTCTGTTTTTGTGCATCAGACTGTTCTGATATTAATTGCCCTGTAGTATGTCATGGAATCAGGTATTGTGATGCCTCCTGCTTTGCTTTTCTTGTATATGATAGCTTTAGTTATTTGGGATCTCTTATGTTTTCATATGAATTTTAGCACCATTTTTTCTAGGTCTGAGAAGAATGTCACTGGAATTTTGATTGAGACTGTATTGAATCTGTAATTTGCTTTCAGAAGTATGGACATTTGATGATGTTGCTTCTCCCAAGTCATGAACATGAAAGTTTTTTTTCATTTTTAAATGTTGTTTTTTTTTATTTCTTTCTTTAGTGCTTTTGTAATTTTCATCATAGAGAACTTGGACTTCTTTTTTAAATTTATCCCAAGATATTTAATTATTTTTGGAGCCAATGTGAATGGGACTGATCTTTAAAGTTCTTTCTCAGCTGTGGCGTTGTCTGTGTATACAAAGGCTATTGATTTTTCTGTGCTCATTTTGTATTCTGACACTTTACCAAACTCTTTTATGAGTTCAAATAGTCTCTTAGTAGAGTCTTAAAGATTCCTTATATATAGGATTATGTCATCTGAAAATAGGGATAGTTTGATTCCTTCTTTTCCAATTTATATCCTTTTGATTGCTTTTTCTTGCCTAATGGCCCTGGCTAAACCTTCCAGGACTATATTAACTAGCAATGATGAGAGTAGGCGTCCTTGTCTGGATCTGAATCTTAGAGGGAATGCATTCAGCTTTACACCATTCAGTAGGATGCTGACCATTGGTTTGTCATAAATTGCCTTGATAATGTTGAGGAACATTCCTCCTATACCCAATTTGTTTAAGGTTTTTCTCAGGAAAGGATGTTGTATTTTATTAAATGCTTTTCTGCATCTATTGAGATAATCATATTGGTTTTGTTCTTCAGTTTGTTCATGTAATATATCACAATTATTGATTTGTGAATGTTGAACCATTCCTAAATACTAAAAATAAATCCCACTTGATCCAGGTGAATTATATGCCTGACGTTTTGCTGGATTCGAGTAGCTAATATTTTGTTGAGGAGTTTTACACCTATGTTCATGAGGGATATTTGTTTATAGTTCTCTTTATTGTATCATTTTTCTGACTTAGAAAGTAAATGATTAACATTTCATTTAAGGAGTTTGGGAGGATTTCCTCCCTTTCAATTTTTCTGAGTAGCTTGAGAAGAATACTGTTAGTTCTTTAAATGTCTGGTAGAATTCAGAAGTGATGCCATTAGGTCCTGGGCTTTTCTTTGTTGGAAAGGTCTTACTTACTGATTCATTCTCTGTTGGTTATCAATCTGTTTAGATATTCTATGCCTTCATGACTAAATTTTGGTAGATTATATGTGTCTAGGAATCTCTCCGTTTTTTCTAGCTTTCCAATTTTTTGTTCTAGTAATTCCTCATGATTCTTTTTGTTTCTGTGGTGTCTGTTATATTTCTATTTTCATCTCTAAATTTATTGAATTGTGTCTTCTTCCCCCTTTTTTTGTTAGTTGGCCCAATGATGTACCAATTTGCTTATTTGCAGAAAATAAGCTCTTCATTTCAGTGATCTTTTGTGTTGTTTTTTGCTTTGAGTTTTATTTCTTCTCTAATTTTAATTATGTATTTCTTCCTACTAATTTGAGGTTTGGTTTGTTGTTTTTTTTTTTAGGTCCTTGATATATATTAATAGCTCCTCTATTTGGTACCTTTTCAATTTATTCATTAGGCAACAATTGCTATAAACTTTCCTCTTAACACTGCTTTTATTGTATCCCATAAATGTTGATATGATGTATTGTCACCTTCATTTGTTCCCAGAAAATTTTTGATTTCACTTTTGATTTAGTCTATGAACCACTGTTCTTTCAGGAACATGTTTTCAGTCCCATGTGTTTGCATATGATCTAGAGATTTCCAAGTTGTTGATGTCCAGCTTCATTGCATTGTGGCTAAAGAAGATGTATGTTGTGTTTCAACATTTTTTTTTAATTTGTTGAGACTTACTTTATGGACTTAGTATATGGTCTAGCCTAGAGAAAGTTCCATGTACTGATGAGAAAGATGTGCATTCTTCAACTGTAGGGTGAAATGTTCTCTACATATCTGTTAGGTCCTTTTGGTCCATAGACTCTATTACCTATGTGTAATGCCTGCACTATGTTTCTGTACTGATTTTTGTCTATTTGATCTATTGATAAATGTTGGATATTGATACCCCCCTTACTATTGTATTATAGTCTATGCATCCCTTTATATCCATTAACATTTCTTTTAAATAGATAAGCACCTTATAATTAGTTGTGTATACATTTATTTTAGTCACATCTTCCTGTTGAATTGATTCCTTAATCATTATATAAAGCCCTTCTTCATCTGTTACAATTTTTTGTGTTAAAATCTATTTTGTCTGATATTAGGATGAAAACACCTGACTTTTTTTTACTTTCCATTGGCATGGAAAAATTTTTTCCAGTATTTTACTTTCAGTTGGTATGTATCTTTGGTAGTGAGATGTTTTTCTTATAGGTAGCAAATAGACGGTCATATATTTTAATCCATTCAACCAGCCTGTTTTTTTTAACTGGAGAGTTGAGGCCATTTGCATTCAATGTGGCTATTGATATTTAAAAACTTGGCTCTGCCATTTTCCAGTAAATATTCCTAGTGCTTACTTTGGATTTCTTTTGTATGTTTACTGGAGGATTATCAAACTTTACATTCTTTCATATTGATGGCTATCTTTCTGTGTTTCTGTGCATAACACATCCCTAAGCAGTTTATGTAAAGCTGGATGAGAAGTGACAAATTCTTTCAATTTATGTTTGTTATGAAAGGTGTTTATTTCATCTTCACTCATAAATGACTACATTGCAGGCTACAGTATTCTGGGTTGACAGTTTTTTTTTTTCTCTTAAGATTTGGGATATATGCTGCCATTCTCTCCTAGCTTGTGTTTCTGATAAGAAGTCAGCTGTGAGTCTAACTGGATCCTCTGAAAGTAATCTGGATTTCTTCATGCACATTTTATGGTCTTTATGGTGAATATCTTTTCTGGTAATATCTGTTAGGAGATCTATATACTTCTTCTACATGAGTGTTCCTTTCTTTCTCCAAATTAGCAAAGTTTTCTCTAATTATTTTACTAAATGGGGCTTCTAATCCATTCTCTCTTTCTACACTTTCAAGAACTCTAATACCTGTATGTTGTGTTATTTGATAGTATCCCATAAATCTCCAACACTGTTTTTAAGTTTTCTAATTTCTTCTTTTTCTTCTTCTTTGATCTAATTGAATGATTTCCAAAGTTTTGTTTTCTAGGACAATATTCCTTTTTCCATGCCAAATCTCTGTTATGGCTTTCCACCACATATTTTATTTGGTCTATTGAATTTTTCATTTCTAATATTTCATTGTGATTTCTCTTTAACATATCAGTTTCATAGGAAAATTTTCATTCATACCATGTATGGTTTTCTTAAGTTTGTGGATTTGCTTCTGGTTGCTTAAGAATAACCTATGTTTACTTTTTAATTCTATTTCCAGAAATTCATCACTCTCTTCATCCAAACATTTAAATATTGAAACATAGTTGTGTTCTCACAGGGTCTTCTTTATTATTGTTTCTTGAATTTCTTCATTTGTATTTAGTTAAATACAATGAATAAATTTGTGGAGTTTTTTTTTCTTTTCATGGTAGTTTTTTTTCTTTGAGCTATGAATCTATGACTTAATGTAATGCCTGCACTTTTAGTAAATACCCAGAGGTATATGGTTGGTATGGCCACGGAGCTCTGGTCAGTGCTTAGGTGTGGGGTACTTTTCCAGAGTAACACACAGGTGATTATAGTAGATCTCAATGCCTGGGTGTGTTCTGAACCATTATAAACCCCACAAGTGTTCTGCACAGTCTTCACTGTGAGCACAGTTTCTGCTGCAAAGACCTGTTATTAGTAACCAAGGAAATCCAGGCATGTGGAACTGCAACCAGTGATTGCCCACAGGCCCCACTATACCCTGTACCTTTTCATGTATCCACCAAGTCTCTACAGTCTCAGTACTAAAGGCCCCAACAGACTCCGAGTGCACAGGTTTCTCTGCCCTACCAAGCTGTCCAGTCAATAGAGTTGCAAATGTTCCCTGAGACAGTTCTGCCTAGGTGTCTTGCTCCTGGGAGTCTGTGGGTGCTTCATTGTCCTCTGAGGTTGACCACCTACCTCCCTGTCAGGCTCAAAGTCAGTGGGGACTGCCTAGTAGTCTCTTTGCTAGAGTCACTGGATCACATGCATACATAAGAGTCACTGGCCAAATGTTGCTATCTCCTTACCATTACTGCCAGTACTTCAAAAAACAGGGAGTCCTGCTCAGCCAGTTGCTGTGCATGTGCACAAATTTTTCTGCAGCTCCTGCCCTAATCAAAAATGATGCTCGCTCCTTCTCATCCAAGCAGCAGGAGCTTTCATGGGGAAGTTGAAGTGAATTAAATATGCCCCTTCTCCTACCACTGGGTCTGTGGACAACCTGTAGCAACTGCTAGCCTCCAGAGCTCCAGTCCAGACTCACACTGTGTCTCCCTCTGGCTATATCACCATGGGTTGCTTCAGCCCAGCCTCGCCTCTGTCTCCAAGCTGCCTCCTGCTCCAGCTCTTGGCTGCTTCAGTCGTGCTTGTGATGGTGTTCTTACTGCATGTCTGCACCTTCCACACAGGTCCATGACATTCCTTCTCCTGTTGTAGGATTTCCAGTGCAGTTTTCTTTCCTATTCTATCCTGAGAGTGTACTCCCTATCCTTTTTCTTCCTGTTCATCTGTAGCCTATCACAGTGTGTTATTCCCAAATTCACCATCTTGGAATCTCACTATAGTTATTCTTATCACAGAAGAGTGAGAATGAGTGAGTTGTAAGAAGAGTCGATTCTGTAATATCACCCACAAACCTCACTCAATTTGGAATTTGGCTTAGAGACTACTAGAATGAAGCCAGTGGGGATTCATAGCAGAGACAGTGCTCCTCAGAGAAGCAGATTAAGTCAGAGTTGTGACGTTGGAGGGTATTTGAAATCTTCAGAATTATTTTGATCAATGCGAAACCTAAAGCAACTTTCATTCCTCGGAGATTGAAATGCTAAGGCAAAAGGGTAAGTCATAGTGTGTGTACTTTTGTGTTCTATAACACCTATGGAGTTTCTGGCTAAAAATGAACAAGTATTTCTGATATGAATTTGAGCCAATAAAATCATATATTTAAAACACAGTTTGGAAAAATTTGATAAATTATTCATGAAAATATGCATGGCTACTTTTTTTAATCTCTCAAAAGTGTTCCATCCTCCCCATGCCAACCCACAGGCATGTGAAATTTCCTTTAACATTTCCATGCTTTTTCTTAAGTATGGAAATCAATGTCAAAACCAAAACTGTCTGTATGACTTCTTCCTCAGCATTTCCAGTTGATTATTCATTGAGCGCTGAGGAGGAATGTGAAATAAATAAGACCAAATAGCAGTGCTTACTTCCAGATGACTTTCCATTATATAGTCATTCATGTTCTTACAATTATTTTGGTTGTTTATCTTGCATTGTATGTTCATAAATTGTAATTTTAAATATAATTAGAAATCAGTGACATAACTCAAAGAATGATTTATTACTCTCAGGAAGTACTGAGGGCAAGCAGTCTTAAAGTAAAGCACCATATTTTTATAGGTTTGAATTAAAAACTCTTAATATGTAAAACACATCTAGACTATAAGATTAGAGATCAGATTATCCATTATTATTTACAGCCAGTTGGATCTGTAAAAGAAAGAAATTACAAAATAAGTCTGACATGATACAAAGCAATTTCACACCAGATGTTTATCTAGATTTTAAAATTAACTTAACCCCATTTTTTTTTAGTCAACAAGTATCCTAGGCCAACAGTACCTGTTCAACAGTCTAATACTTGAGGTTGTCTCTAAGACAAATAAGTGTGTTCAGGCCACTGTCAGACATCTTCCAACTTCATCCTGAGAGTAGATAGCTGAGGTGGTCTACTATTGAGTATATACAGTATTATAGTCTATAGATTATACACCACAATGGAGACAGAAGAAATCCTGTCACTGTTGATGATTTAATCCATGGAGAACCTACAAAGAGAAGAAAGGAAACAAAGTACAAATCCATTCTCTAAGTACTTCAGATGAAGGAAGCTGACTAAGATAGACTCAGGGGCATCTTCCTGTGTTCTACATATTAAACTAGTCACTTAACAGCAAGCATTGATGTTGACTTTTCTTTAGACCTAATTTTTTCCTGGGATATATTTTTTACCATCTACCTTTGGGTTAACACAGAAGTTTGTAAGTTTGAAGATTGTAAAAGATGACCTATTTTATCTATGAGCACAGCAAAATATTTACCATCAAACTACAGTACAAGATAGTTTTTGAACACCCATGGTTGTTTTTAACAAGAAAATTAACAGGAAACAGAGGGAAATATCTCAAACTTTGTGGCAAACAAAGGGAGATCAAGGATCAAAGGAGAGAGAAATACATAGGAAAGTAGGGCCCTCATTCATAAGGGTGATAGGTGCTGAGTGTCTTAGTGCAAGAACATTTCAGCTCTCTTATAGAGTTGTGAAAAAGTGAAGAGACCAAAGGGGAACTGATGCCATCCATCATCCTTTTACATTAAATAGGACTCCCACACTAATTCACAACCTTGAAAGTGCAAATGATATAATACTGGCAGCCAATGTGAATGTAGGCAGGTGTATCATAATTCCAATGACTTTAGGAAGAATTCACTCAATGTCATAAGTTATAAGAAAAAACAATCAATGCCTACCAATCAGCACCATAACTCGTCACTACTGGAAAGAATGCCCTCCCCTATGTGCACTAACAAGATGTAGAAACATGATTCTCAGCTGGGTAAGTTTGACTTCCCAGAATTCTGTAAACTGTCCGGACACATTTCCAGCTGTCACATAAGGGGCTTCACTGCCTTCCAGTGGATAGCTGTCATCCTCCTAAAAACAGTACTGGCCTGTGCCCCAACTAACTATTAAGCAGCTCAAAATGAGTATGGTGCCCAAGTAGAGCATTTTGGCATAGGAAAAGGGTCTATATTTCCCCCTCTTTCAAACTCTTCACCTTTTAAACCACTTTTCCAATAGTTTGAGATATTGGGATATTTTTGCATCATGAGCAGTTTTTCATAGAAGAGTAGGCACAGTAGGCAGAATTTTAAGGTGGCCTCTGATTTATGCACACTGTGTTATGCCCTGCATTTCCCTCACCCTTAGATTAGCACTGAGTCTAGATGATTAAGGATGGCAAAGCTGATATACAGACACTCCTATTGTTATGGCCTTTGACATGAGGAACCACTTGAAAGACTTGAGGGAAATTCCCTTGCTGGACTGTGTACTGCAGTATGAGTGGGAAGTACAAATATACCCTAGGAACTGAGGTTAGATGACAAGTGACACAGAGAAGCTGGATCTCTCAGTCATGTGGCATAAGGAAATAAATAATGCTGATTATAAGTATGTATTCATGAGCAGATAAATCTGATCCTGCAGATGACAACCAATGCATGTAGAAATTTGATGGTGTCTTCAATCATGACTGTAGCCCTTTCTTGGCAAGGGGGTCTTTCCTTGTCTCCTGGGCTTCCTACTCTACCATGACTGTTTCTGCCTGCTTTTCTAGATGATTCATTCCACAGTCCTTCTCTATCAGATCCTCCATGTCCCTGGATATTTCCTGTAAGCATGATCAGTCCGTAAGTTAAACTAATACAACTAAGAATCCTGTCACAGTGACTTCAGCAAGGTGTTTCAATACTAACATATCTAACATGTTGAACCTGCCTAACTTCTTAAGATAAAGCTTTCCAAAATTATATGGTCAGAATCTTATATTTTCCTGTATATCTTATTTCACTTATACCAAGTGTTTCTTTAAGTATTTTTGCGTCTTACTCATTAATGTGATTCAGATTAGAAATATATTTTTATTCATGCGCATGATTTTTACATTCTGTGTCTCAGCAGTGTGAGAAGGGGAGACAACTTTACACAAGAGAAGGAAATGAAGAACTGTGATTTATATGCTGTCCAATATGACCATAGTGACTGAGTTCACTGAGTTCTGGCCTCACTTCTACCACAAAGGTAAGTCATTGTCTCCAGATGAGTGTTACTGTGGCTATGACAGCCTGTGAAACTTACATACACAGAGGCCTTATCTCCTAAACACAGGCCTTGTACACAGGCCTCTCACAAACACAGGATAGCACATCACACAGGCCTCTCTCTCTCTCTCAGAAAAAATATCTGGCAATCTGTCTCAAGGGTGTCCTACATGCATAAGTGTAAGGAATAGATCTCACTCCTCCCTTACTCGAGTACCAAGAACACACCAGAAATCATTGAGTATTAAGAATTGGACATGAGAAGTTCATAGTAATGTGGGAGAAGATGTTATGGAAATAACCTCTGTGATCCAAAACAATGAATGCAGTGATATGCTCTTATGAGGTTCTATATGGATTTATAGAAACAACTATCAATCCCACCTGTACATGCTCAGGGAAGACTTATCCTAAGAGGTGAAATCATATTGAAATATTCTAAAGCATTACTTTTTCCAAATCTTAAACTGTCTAAGGAAAGAGCAAGGTGAGCTTTGCAGATCTAAAGTCTTGTGATGCTGAGAGTTCGGAAATCATGTAAAATAGACAATCAGAAAGAATCTAGTCTCAGAACAACCAGGACACACTGCATCCCAAGGACCCAGATGAGAAAGACATAAATATATTAAGACATGCAGTATTTCAAATAATCCACTTAAAATCATGTCGTATAGATGCAGGAGTGCCTGCTATTCTGTATCTCCCTCCCATACCACTTCAGTCAGACTCTGGAAAGATGATGCTGGGATCTGTGGGACCTTGGAAACCCTACTAGGTCATAGAGGTCACTTAATAGCTCTTCAACATTAGAGGCCCCCAGACCTAACTGTCAGCAGTGGCTTTTGAACATGAATCATTGAGGTTCCACAGACATAGCAAGATGGCTCAAGTGCATTACCTTTTGCATAAGTTCAAACAGATCCTGGGCACCTGCTGCTTCTCAATTTCTGTTTGAGAATATCATGTTGCAGAGTGTGAGAATCACTTAGATTAGACATGGGTTAGGGTAAAACATTCACCAGTAAAAATGAGGAGACTAACACTTTGCCACACTTGCTTTCTCTCAAGAAAAAGAGATCTCCCCTTTATGCTTCTCCTCCTGTCCCCATTCTCAGCATCTTTTCTCTGTGTCTCAGTGCTCTGACACTCTCCATATTAATTGTTTCTCTCTTTTAACTCATAGCAGCTTCTACCTCCAAATTACAACTTGGCATGGTCTTTCCACACCCCCCCCTGCCAGTGCCCACATCCATTTATAACATCTCTCATTTGCATAATTTAATTTCTTTCCTGGACAGCTACTAGATTACTAAGTTTCCAAATTCCATGAGGTAAATCAATTATTGGATGGTCTTGGGTCAAGGGTACAGAGCCTATTAGTTGGTTTATTTTATTTATTCGTTTTGCTTTACTTCATTATTTACCATGTTGTATGCACTACACTTTACTTCTTGCCCCTTCCTAATTATTTTTCTTGCAACAATTGTTCTCAGGGAATCTCACTCAGTCTAACATCTTTAAAGGACATTTGAAAGCTGATGACATCTTAATGTCTACCTACAGCCCAAACACCATCTTCACTTCTCTTCTATATTTAGTATACTGTCTTATAATAATAACTTATTTACATGACTTACTAATCATGATGTCTAATTGCCAGCTCCAAACTCACCTGCCCTGACCATATTTATCTCTCTCTTTCTTTCTTTCTCTCCCTCCCTCTCTCTCTCTCACACACACATATGCACACATACACATGTATATACACAAGCACACACAGAAGTCTGCCTTCATTATACATTTGAGTAATCCTAAACTACTATTTTCTTCTCATACCGAGGCAGGAGTCAGTTAAGGGTTAATTGGGGAATCTGAGAAAAACAAATTCTCAAATTATTTTGTAGTCTTAGTGTGCTTTTCCTTTTTCCAGTCTCTACCTCCTTGCCGTTATACTTGACCTTGAGGCAGTAAAGAGATAATTGGGGAAGCTAAGGAAAAAAGTTGCAAACTTGACCTTCATATGCATGTGGTAATGTCCAGATGGCTTACATGCCAGATGATCTCAGAACCACACGGAGGGTTGCCTCTCAGCAAATAACCACCCCTATAAATATACAGACCTTGACCGCATTCAAGTGGCTTTGGTCTCAGCCTGTTGGCCAGCTCATATTTTCATAATGAGTATACTTTACTTTCCTGTAATAAACATTTGTTTCTTTACTCAGTGCTTGTGCGAGCCTCGTTCAATTTGTTGTCTGAAGTTCAAAAGAGCTTAGTCATGAACTTTCCACTCTCAACTCCAATGATACTAAATACTTAAATAAAAAATACCTACTTCTGTATTTTGAAGATCTGATCTCAAGTCCATCTACCTCTACCACCAGCATTTTTCATTCTATTCCTACATGACTCCATCTCCTGGACTGCTCAAAACCAATATTCTCAAATTGGTACTTATTTGGGGCTGGTGCTGTGGTGTAGTGAGTAAAGATACTGCCTGGAGTGTCAGCATCCCATATGGGCACTGGTTGTAGTCCTAGCTGTTCCTCTTCCAGTTCAGCTCTCTGCTATGGCCTGGGAGATCAGTAAAAGATGGCTCAAGTGCTTGGGCACCTGCACCATCATGGGAAACCCAGAAGAAGTTCTTGGCCCCTGGCTTCAGATCGGTCCAGCTCTGATGGTTGCAATCATTTGGGGAAATGAACCAGTGGATGGAAGCTTGCTCTCTCTCTGCATCTGTCTCTCTTTAATTGCCTTCAAATTTTAATTTTTTTTGACAGGCCAAGTTACACAGTGAGAGAGAGAGACAGAGAGAAAGGTCTTCCTTTTCCTTTGGTTCACCCTCCAAATGGCTGCTGCAGTGGCGCACTGTGATCCGAAGCCAGGAGCCAGGTGCTTCCTCCTGGTCTCCCATGCAGGTACAGGGCCCAAGCACCTGGGCCATCCTCCACTGCCTTCCCAGGCCACAGCAGAGAGCTAGCTGGACTGTATGAGGAGCAACTGAGACAGAATCCAGTGCCCCATCCGGGACTAGAACCCAGGGTGCCAGCACTGCAGGCAGAGTATTAGCCAAGTAAGCCACAGCACCAGCCGCAATTGCCTTTCAAATAAATAATAAATAATAATAAAATGTTTTCTTAGAAAATTGGTAGTTAGGGGCTGGCACTGTGGCATATCAGTTTAAAGCCCTGGCCTGAAGTGCCGGCATCTCATATGGGCACAAGTTCTATTCCCTGCTGCTCCTCTTCCCATCCAGCTCTCTGCTATGGCCTGGGAAAGCAGTAAAAGATGGTCCAAGTCCTTGGGTCCCTGTACCTATGTGGGAGACCCAGAAGAAGCTCCTGGCTCCTGGCTCCTGGCTTCAGATCAGCTCAGCTCCAGCTGTTGTGGCCATCTGTGGAAGACCTCTCTCTCTGTCTCTACCTCTTGCTGTAACTCTGTTTTTCAAATAAATAAAATAAATAATTTTTAAAAAATGGTACTTAATAGTTGCCTAACAATAAATCATTTATTTGATTGAATCTTATCATATTGCCACATAAATATCCTTTAACTTCTTTAGTCATAAATGTACATCCCTGATTAAAATTTTATGTTTTCCCATTCTACTCTGATTTTAATGACAACATCTCTAATCTAATTTGTATTTCCAATATGATCCTGAGTAAAGCCTTCCCTTTCCCTAGGCCTTGGTTTCATAATGTATAAAATGAACTCACTCAAATTGAGCACAGAAATGTTCAGTAGGGAGACCCATGGGTCTGTCACTCCATTGGAATGTGCTAAATTGGAATGAATGTATGGTCAAAACAACTCTGTGAAAGCCAGTTTCTAATTTGACCATTCATCACATCCATCATGAATATCTTTTTTGAAGAGATAATCTTCAAAGCACTAATATTTAAGAAAATCTCTGCCAAGTCACAGTCTATCTGATCCAGAGAGAACACAACAGAAATTTCAGTGACAACTCACAACAAGGAGTGTATACTTTGTAAAATATTTTGGTAGGATCTTCATAGAAATGTATGACTGCAGCTGCCACAAAAACTCTGATATGCAAAGGAATCTGGTTTCCACAATAGCCCTAAATTACATATCCAGACTGTCAAATTCTGAGCAAAATGAAATTAACACTTTTATAAAAGAAAATTATGTTTCAGTCAAAAAAGGCATAAACTTTCCTTATGAAAAATTTATATTTAAAAAGTTTATTTCCTTATGAAAAGTACAATTACTTTTAAAAACATTTTGTTAAATACCCTACAAATGCCCAGAGGGTTAATGAAAGCAGGAGAAAGATGTATGATTGTCTAGTTTATACTGTGCCCCACTAAACTATACAAGTGCTACCTCTTAATCAAAATGTAAAAAGTAAATTATGTAATATAAAGATTTTTAAGCATTAAATAGGGAATAAGGTATCAAGACATTGAGGAGATGATGATATAAATATGGAATTAAAAATTATGAAAAAATTTAAATAATAGTTTTGAAGAGACAGGAATCAATGAACATCAAGAGAAGGCAAATTAAGTTATCTAGATGTGTTACATGTTTTACTTATGTTATTTAGTAAAACACATAGCAAATGAAAAAATAAACAGGCAAGCTATTTGCAGTACACCATCAATTGTACTAACACATGCATCATGGGATACCCATTATGAGTGGAGAAGGAGAGGTAGAATATTTAGAAAATTATGGCTAAAAATATCCAAATATGGCAAAACACAGTTATCTGCCCATGTAAGATAATCAGTGAAGTCTAAGAGAATGGATCATAAAAATCTGCACTAAGAAACATTCTACTAGAGTTAATGTACAAATAAGAATGCACAATCCTAAAAGGAACAAAGAAGTGACTTTCGATTCACCAAACACCTTCAAAGAGGATAACAGCTGATTTTTTGTACAAAACAATATCAGTCAGAAGTTAGTGGGTGGCACATTTAAGTCACTGAAAGGGAAACAACCACAGCTATCAGATATTAATTCTGTATTAGATAATGTGACAATTGAAATTGTGTTCCTAGAATGGCCATCAATAAGTGAGAAAAGAAGTTTCTTAGGCTAAAATGAAGGACATTATGCACTAACTAAAACCCATATGAATAAATCAACATCATAGATATTGGTAACAACATAGATATATGTAACAGTCAAGCTTTTTTTCTTTATGTGTTTACTTATTTTTTCTATGTCAAAGTCCAATGCAAAAAAAAGTAATTATAAAGCCATGTTGAGGAGTACAGAATGTTTATGACCTAGTGGTATTAAAGCTGTATTAATGGACACATATTTAGTAATGGGACCCGAAGCTTTTGTATGTGGGAAGATTTTTAGTGAATATTTTATTTTTACTTTAATGACTGTCCACAGTTCATTTCTTGATATACAGGAGTAATTTGAAATGTTCACAATCCACTGGAATTAAAAAGCAAATTTATTTGATGAAACACTAATTTGAAATCCATGTGTAACTTTTTCATAATATGTGTTTTCCACAAAACATTAAAGATGACCTTCTAAGTAAACTCATTTAATTTCTTCAGTTATCATTCATAATATCTGCCTCTAAGTCACTTATTTTGTAGTAGTCCATGGAAATAGGTTTTCTGGGTACTTTGAGTTGAAAATAATTGGTATTTTAATATAGAGGAAGGAATGAATACAAAATTAAGTTATGTTTGAAGATGGTATGAACAAAATTAATTTGATGAATCAGAAGGGTTAATACTCAGAACATATAATATTAGGCACTACTATAAGCCACAAAATATTTATGGGCCTAATAGTTCAAAGCTCCAAATTAATTACACAGATTCAATAAAAAAGAAAAAAATATGCTTTCAAATATATCAAGAGAGAAAAATCAACACAGAAATCAGCCATTTTCACTGATTCATTAAAATCTATCTGTATATAAATAACAATGAATGCACTACATGCATATAAATAATGTTAAGTAATTTATTTTAAAGTTTGACTAATTAAGCATACAAAAAATGGACAACATTATGACAAGGAAGCAAATGATAAAGTTCCTTTTCGGAATTCAGATATAAGTGTTTAAATAAAAAGATATATATATTATAAAAATCTGTCATTTTTTCTCTCACAACAGAAATCCAGCATATCATAATTTCTTGGCACTCTAATGACAGTAGTAACCATCAAGTAAAATGTAGCAAGCAATTTGTACCTACATGTACATTTCATTAAGATTATTTAAGCTAGGGCCGGCGCCGTGTCTCACTTGGTTAATCCTCCACCCGCAGTGCTGGCATCCCATATGGGTGCCAGGTTCTAGTCCCAGTTGCTCCTCTTCCAGGCCAGCTCTCTGCTGTGGCCTGGAAGGGCAGTGGAGGATGGTCCAAGTGCTTGGGTCCCTGCACCCCACATGGGAGACCAGAAGGAAGCACCTGGCTCCTGGCTTTGGATCAGCATAGCTCCTGCCATTGCAGCCATTTGGGGGATTAACCAATGGAAGGAAGACCTTTCTCTCTGTCTCTGTCTCTCTCACTGTCTAACTCTATCTGTCAAATAAAAAAAAAAGAAAAAGAAATATTAACTCACAATTTAAATAGACTATCCAGAAGGATTATTTTTGTAGAGTTGTGAAAGTGCCAATGAGGAAAAATGATGATTGAAGATAAAATCCTGAATTTGGACAATTAGTTCTTGCCAGTATTAGGTTAACGCTATAGCAAAACAGTAATTGAGAACATTGTAAGGAAATGTAATAACTCATAAAAATTGTCAAAATATTGTCAGTTTTCTGGTATTAAATTAAGCTTAAATTAAATTTTAATATTAAACTAATCATATTCTACCCATTATCATTAACTTACAGTAATCTGGGGAAGAGGAGTATGTTCCAAATAAAATGAAAAAGGGATTTCTCATGAAACATGATTGTCTACTACAGAAAATCTATGTGAAACATTATCTTGTATACTGTAAATAATTGTGCTTTGGGGGAAACTGTTATATGTCCAACAACTTATAGTGCAGAAAGTTAAAATAATCAAATGCTGTAAGATTCACCAAAATGTCTAATAAAGTTGGAAGAAATATTTGAGAACCCCCCAAACTAGGAAAGCAAACCAAATAAATTTTCCATGGAAGGAACAAAACTAAGAAACAGATTCTTTATTCATAAAGGACTTATGAAGATGAGAAATCTTTTTGGGTGTTCAGATTGGAGGGGCAAAAACAATAAAAGAAAACTAACTGCAAACATTCCAAGGTGATATCTCACTATATGAGAAATAATCTTAATTACTTTTTCACACAGAAATAACCTACCAAAATAAAATTTCACATTACATAAGCTTTAGACAGGGGGATTATCTTTAAAACATGTAATTCAATACAATGCAGATGGGAGAATCACAAAATACATGAAAATAACAAGGACCCAAATGAATAAAAAGGCATATTTGGGAAACAGCAAGTAAATTGAGTCTACTTTATATATTATGTATGTCAAACATTAGACTGAGCCAAATAAAAAACTACTGAGCATAGTTATTTTAAAAAAGATAAAATCAATAGAAGTTAAAAATATAAACCTACATATACAAAGGTTAGAATGAAAAGGAATTAAATAATCTAATTGTGTGGATTATACAAAAGAAATCAAAGAAACTAGTCTAATAATTACTTAGTGTTCAGGTATCCAAAATTGACAAGAAGACACAAATCAGTGAATTCAGAAAAGTGGTAACATCAAAGAAAAGACTTAAATGAGAAAAGGATGATAATCTGTGAAGACATGAGAAAAATCTCCATAGTTTATATGTGTGAAAGCAGAAATAACTATTAACAGATCATTGAGAAATTGTCAGTAAAACTAGAATTGGATGCTTAGTTAATATGCTTTCAACAAACAGTAATATGCAGATTACCTTCTGAAGTAAGATCTAAGGATTAGGTAGCAAAAGCTGCTTCATAGATGCCAAGTCTAAAGGAAAAAAAAATCCTACATTAAGTTTGGAAAGTTTAAGAAGTAATTTCAATACATGGAGACCATTGAACTAAGGGAGGCATTGTCAAAGTAAAAAAAAAAAAGGTTACAAGTAAAAAGACAAGTAAAATTCTACACATTTAAATTAAAATTAAAATTCCCTAATTTTTTGAATATTTAACAGAGTTAGAATTCAGTTTTTCAGATTTGTTTCATCAACTTGTTAAAATTGTCATATCAATCACATTTTTCAGAGTACCAATTATTCTTTTATCAGAACTAAAAAATATCAAAGGACTGGCCATGGCATACACATTTCCCACAAGTCTCTGGACATCCAGGACAACTGGATCATATTTCCACAATACAGTTGAGAAAGATGACATTGTGATATCCACAGAGTACATAATCACAAAGAAACTCACCAGGAGCAGGACAGTATGAGTGGCCCTTTTTGCTGGGGAGGTTCTTGGGGTAATGCTTATGCTGTGAAGGTACTCATACCTCCTCTGATGATTAGATAAGAAAATCATCATGTATGCACTGGAGAGTAGCATGATACCTACAAAGAAGATGTTCTGGGACAATGCAAGTGTGAAAAATATTTCCATGATGATAGAATTCATTGAGGAAAGTGAGCAGTACTTATTGACATTGAGTAGTTTGGTCATGTTGGAATGAGCTACAGTGTAGATGATCATGTTACTATTGAAAGAAAGGTTGAGGGACCAAAAACAGAAGAAAGCCTGAGTAATATAATTTGTGAGTCCATGTTTAAATCTTGACATGTAGAAGGTGCTGGGGCTGATGGTGATGACTTGGATGATGCTCAAGAGGGACGTAGTACTGATGGAGAGACCCCTCATCACCCTGATCATATAGAGCAAAACCTTACATTTTAAGTCATTTAGAAAATTCAGTGACTCGAACATATCTGCAGATAAAATTTCCAGTGTTGTGAGTAGCATCATTATATGGACAAATGCCAAGTGACACGTGGTCACATCAGTGGGCTTAGGTCTATGATCTCGGTGGATTGTCAAGATGTGGAAGAGAAAGAGGAAGGTGTTGGCTAAGATTCCAATGGCAGCTTGAAAAACATACATATTTTTTAATGATAGCATAAGTGGAAACTTTTTTTCATATGAACAGCATTACAGGAAACATTTTAGATACCTGTAAAACAAAAACAGATCTTATGTCAGCAGTGTTCTTTCTTCTGTCATAAAAGTTATCACAAATATGATTTTTATTTTACCCACTTATTTTTAAGGAACACCAAATATTTTGTACGGATTTTTGGTAGTAAGATTTCTGCATTCTCTGTAACAAATGAAATTTTTCACTACATCCATATTCTGAACCCTTTAAAGATTCCTATATTTGTGAATTTCAAACATTTTTGCAGCAAGATAAACTTAATTGCATTTTTCTGTAAATGTTTTTAAATACTCTACACACATATGTCTGGTGTGAAATGGCTCAATCTCATAAATGAATGGAAGAAGTAGAAAAATTCCTCTACAACCACATGACATGCATGAATTAATGAGAGGCACATAGCAGAGTTGGTAAAGTCATTGTTGAATTTGCTTCGAAGGCTTAATCAACTAGAGCAAAAGAACTATGTATCATAAATGAATAATTGTTCCATAAATGTGTATCTGGCTGGCGCCGTGGCTCACTAGGCTAATCCTCTGCCTTGCGGCACTGGCACACCGGGTTCTAGTCCCGGTCAGGGTGCTGGATTCTGTCCTGGTTGCCCCTCTTCCAGGCCAGCTCTCTGCTATGGCCAGGGAGTGCAGTGGAGGATGGCCCAAGTGCTTGGGCCCTGCACCCCATGGGAGACCAGGAGAAGCACCTGGCTCCTGCCTTCGGATCAGCGCAGTGCACTGGCCACATCGCGCCTGCCACGGCGGCCATTGGAGGGTGAAGCAACGGCAAAAGGAAGACCTTTCTCTCTGTCTCTCTCTCTTACTGTCCACTCTGCCTGTCAAAAACAAAAACAAACAAATAAACAAACAAAAAAATGTGTATCTGTACCCATGGAACCAGAAAAAGTACCAGGACCATATTGACTAGAAGATTAACCATCTCCACATTTCAAGGATCATAATCAATTCAATTATATATTTAAGCAGTGTATGATATTGGTCCCAGTACTTCTTCCATTCATTTATGAGATTGAGCCATTTCGCACCAGACATATGTGTGTAGAGTATTTAAAAGTATTTATTTTGGTATATATACATATATGTATGTATATATGAAATTATAGTGTCCTCATACGTTATGAGATGTTTGGTGAAAGAGATAACATAATTACATGAAAGCAAGTAGATAAGGATTTCAATATTTTCTTCTCCTGCCACAGTGATATTTGGCTGATTATCCCTGCCTCATTTCTCTCATTTGGTAAATGCCCACCATGCACTGAAACAGACTTGCTCTATCAGATACTCAATTGTTATTTGTTTCTAATGAGGCTCTTGTTAACAACATACAGTCTGGGTGAGAAAAAAAAAAAACATGGCTCTTGCTCTTGTGGATGAGCAATAATATATGAAATATAATCATTAAGATGATTTCTTTTTTTTAACTTTTATTTAATGAATATAAATTTCCAAAGTACGGCTTATGGATTACAATGGCTTCCCCCCCATAACGTCCCTCCCACCCGCAACCCTCCCCTTTCCCATTCCCTCTCCCCTTCCATTCACATCAAGATTCATTTTCGATTATCTTTATATACAGAAGATCAGTTTAGCATACATTAAGTAAAAATTTCAACAGTTTGCTCCCACACAGAAACATAAAGTGAAAAATAATAGATGATTTTTTAAATGATGATGAAATCAGATCAGACCTATTGTCATGTTTAATCCCAGTGAGAGTCAAGTTGGGAATTGATAATTTCTTCTTTTTTTTTTTAACAGAAGATCAGTTTACTAGACATTAAGTAAAGATTTCAACAGTTTGCACCCCCATAGAAACACAAAGTGAGATATACTGTTTGAGTACTCGTTATAGCAGTAAGCCTCAATGTACAGCACATTAAGGACAAGAGATCCTACATGAGGAGTAAGTGCACAGTGACTCCTGTTGTTGACTTTACCAATTGACACTCCTGTCTATGGCATCAGTAGTCTCCCTATGCTCCAGTCATGAGTTTCCAAGGCTATGGAAGCCCTCTGAGTTCTCCGACTCTTATCTTGTTTAGACAAGGTCATAGTCAAAGTGGAGGTTCTCTCCTCCCTTCAGAGAAAGGTACCTCCTTCTTTGACGACCTCTTCTTTCCACTGGGATCTCTTTCATCTAGGTGTTTTGTTTTTTTTTCTTTTTTTTTTTTTTTTGCCAGAGTGTCTTGGCTTTCCATGCCTGAAATACTCTCATGGGCTTTTCAGCCAGATCAGAATGCCTTTAGGGCTGATTCTGAGGCCAGAGTGCTATTTAGGACATCCGCCATTCTATGAGTCTGCTGAGTATCTCGCTTCCATGTTGGATCACTCTCCCCTTTATTTATTCTATCGGTTAGTGTTAGCAGGTACTAGACTTGTTTATGTGCTCCCTTTGACTCTTAGTCCTTTCATTATGATCAATTGTGAACTGAAATTGATCACTTGGACTAGTGAGATGGCATTGGTACATGCCACCTTGATGGGATTAAATTGGAGTCCCCTGGTATGTTTCTAACTCTACCATTTGGGGCAAGTCAGCTTGAGCATGTCCCAAATTGTACGTCTCTTCCCTCTCTTATCCCCACTCTTATGTTTAACAGGGATCACATTTCAGTTAAATTTCTTTTTTTTTTTTTTTGACAGGCAGAGTGGACAGTGAGAGAGACAGAGAGAGAAAGGTCTTCCTTTTGCCATTGGTTCACCCTCCAATGGCTGCCGCTGCAGCCGGCGCACCATGCTGATCCGATGGCAGGAGCCAGGATCCAGGTGCTTTTCCTGGTCTCCCATGGGGTGCAGGGCCCAAGCACCTGGGCCATCCTCCACTGCACTCCCTGGCCATAGCAGAGAAGCTGGCCTGGAAGAGGGGCAACCGGGACAGAATCCAGGCACCCCAACCGGGACTAGAACCCGGTGTGCTGGTGCCGCAAGGTGGAGGATTAGCCTATTGAGCCACAGCGCCGGCCACATTTCAGTTAAATTTCAACACTTAAGAATAACTGTGTATTGATAATGTATACTAAGCTGATCTTCTGTATATTTAGATAATCGAAAATGAATCTTGATGTGAATGGAAGGGGAGAGGGAGTGGGAAAGGGGAGGGTTGTGGGTGGGAGGGACGGTATTGGGGGGAAGCCATTGTAATCCATAAGTCGTACTTTGAAAATTTATATTCATTAAATAAAAGTTAAAAAAAAGAATAACTGTGTATTAATTACAGAATTAAACCAGTCATATTAAGTAGAACAGACATAAAAAACTACTAAGAGGGATAATGTATTAAGTTGTTCATTAACAATCAGGGCTATGCTGATCAAGTCACCGTTTCTCATAGTGTCCATTTCACTTTTGAAAATGCACATTAATTCCTTGTATCTAACAACTGATAACTGTCTGCAACATATATGTGTACTCCAAAATATCATATTATTTGTTTGTATTTTAAAGCTAATTTTGTATCCTATTTTTATGTGAAAATCTGGCAGTTGCATCATGGAAGGATCACTGAAGGTGCAATAATATGTTGTCGACATGTAAGAAAGAGTCTGAAGATGGTCACTTACAGTTTGGTTAGGGTGTAGTCAAGGAGAATTGAGTCCTTTGTTAAACAAAGTAAATACTTAAACATATCAACATACAGCTCAGTTCTCACTGGAAGAACTGAAAATCTGAGATTACTGGGGCTGAGAGTGAAGCCTCTGAGCATTCTCAGAGACAGAAAGTGTGGGCAATGTTCACCTTCTTTATCCTGCCTTTCATCTTATATGTCAAAATATTCACTTCATCTTGGATCATGGTGAGGAAAACACAATTAAATGAACCTGGACTTTTTGGCCTTCTCCCCACTAACCCTGAGAGCTGCTCTGGCTGCTACACACTCACCCAGAGCTCCACCTCCTGGAAAGCTACCACCACTGTCCTCTTCGTCCAGGTGGCATCATGCTTACCTATGGGGACCTCATCAGTGACGATGAGATGTTCTATAACATTTGCAAGATGTGCCTGGAGGTGGAGGGCAAGATGGCCAGTGGGCAGAGGGTAACATTGATGATTCCTTCCTTTGCATGAATGCCTCTTCTGAAGGTCCCTAGGGCAAAGGTACTGAAAGCACAGTAATCACTGGTGTTGATGTTGTCATGAACCATCACCTGCAGGAAATCAGAGTCACAAAAGATTCCTTCAAGAAGCATATTAAAGATTACCTGGAATCAATCAAAGGCAAACTTGAAGAACAGAGACCAGAAAGTAAAACCTTGTATGATAGAGGGTGCACAACAAATCAAACATATCCTCGCTAATTTCAAAAACTATCAGTTCTATTTGGGTAAAAACATGAATCCACTTGGCATGGTTGCTCTGCTGGTACTACCGTGAGGATGAGATGACCCCATTTATGATTTTCTTTAAGAATGCTTTAGAAATGGAAAAATGTTAAAATTGACAACTGCTTTGGATCTATCACTTCTTATCAGAACTGGTTGCTGCTTGTATCCACACAACACCAGGATTTACAGGAAATGGGACTGATATTATCTCGAGACCTTCATTTATTTTGGCTGTGATTTACTTGGAATGAAGGCATTGTTTTTAAGGGAAAAATTTTCTTTTAGGTTGTCTAAAAATTATATGCATTTGAACTAAAAAATATAGATAAATAGACTAGGAACCAAAAGACTGATGATGAAATCTCTGGGCTTAGATTAGGCACGTACATAAAACAGAAGCAGTATGACAAAAAGATGCCATCTATATAAAATCGAGGGCTATTTGGTACACAAAGTATGTTTTAAAAATATTTACTCAAAAGGCAAAGATATGCACACACACACACACACACACACACAGAGGTAGTGAGAGAGCCAGGCATCTCCCATTCACTGGTCACTCCCAGAGATGCCCAAGAAAACTGGCCACAAATAGGAGTGAGGAACTCAATTTCAGTCACTCATTTGTGTGCCAGGAACCCAGGTACAGGTATCTGCTGCTGCCTAGTTGCACCAGAAGAAAGAGTCAGAGGGGTCAGAAGCATATATACAGGACATGAACCAACACACTGATAAGGGATGCAGATGTCCAAGCATCAGCTTAACTCACTGTACCACAATGGTTTCCTCAAGAAACATGATTTTGATAAAGCCTCTTTTCTTATCTTTATGACAATATAAATTATTAAAGTATTGTTATATTATGAGTGGTAACTTTAGGGATATTTGACAAATGAATGTACAATGATGTTATAGTCCCTGTAGACTTAAGAATATAAGTATATATGATAGAATTTACTATTTTATTATGTTAACAATGCTGTCTTCACTACAAGTTTTACCATATTTATTATCAATTTGACCTATGACATTGACAATATTAAAATAATTGAGAATTTTTGATACACCAATCATGGGGAGTAGGTTAATTGCATTCATTGATAAAATGAGTCAGTTTGCATATTCGATTAGAAAAAAAAATCCTTTCCACCATGATTAGTTTCACAAAAATAGTTTTTTAAAAATGGACAAATTCTAGAAGAATAAACAGGATAAGCACCCAATAGCATTGAATGAATGCAATGTGTCATCTACTTAGAAACTTAATTTAATGTAGATATAGCACAGAGTTGATGAGGAATATGTAATCCTAAACATTGAATTCCTAGTCTCACTGAGAAAAATTGTAAGTAACAAAAGTGTCGCCACAGAATTGGGAGACAAAAAATATAGCAGAACAAGGTAACAATTGGGGACACCCAAAAATAGTCCATGAAATTGCACTTTTTTAAAACCACCAGGATCAAGTAGACACCAGGAAAGGATAAAACTATGTTTTACAGAGGTAATAACATGTCACCCCAGTACATCACACTGTTATGGAATTCATAGCCATAGCAAACCCGCCATGTCAAATTTATAAAACAATGAAAAATGCTCTAAGTTCCCTGATCAGGCCCATGTTGGGCCCAGGGTACTGGAATATCACCCTCCCTAGGGCATGAATGCAGTTTCAAAATGAAGACTTAGAGACCTAAGACTCTGCAATATTTGATCACATCAATAAATGTTTTCTGGCGGTCAGATTTGTTGAAGGGCAGATGCCTATGTGGCCACAAGTGTACATCCCTGCAATTTTGGTTCACTTTATTCACAATATCATGGTTGCCTCCTCTCTTTCTTCCACATTAAATACTCAAAACTACAGAGAACAGTATTCTTAGTCAAGTTAGATAATATGAATAGGAAAGTGGTAATAATTTAGCAATTTAATTGAAATTGAGGAGGGACTTTTTATACATAAAATTTTTAAAAACAAATGCAGCCTAAATCTTTTGAAGGACATCAGAAATGTTGATGGTAGGGATTATTTTTTATCATAAACACTATTCCCTTCATGTGTTAGGAATTATTTTTTTCTGATCTCTTTAAAAATTGTAATTTTTAATCAGTGTTAAAATGTTTATTTAAAAAACTAAATACTAAAAGTAAATTTATTTTAAGGATGCATTGGAACTAATTTTTTTTAATATTTTTCACCCAGACTAATAATTTTTTAAAATATTTAATATACAATAGAAAATATTTCTAGATAATTTTCTGGTAAGCAAGCAAAAGAATATGTTAGTAGCAATCACTGTAATGGATTTTTTTCATGGCCACCTGTTGAATTCATTATTGTTTAATATTAAAAATATTATTGCATGGTTTATGGGGCCATGAGGTGAAACCATCCTAAAATATTCTGAAATATCTTAAAATAGTTCAAAACTTAAGAGAACAAAATAAATATCACCAAAGCATACTGAAAATCTAGTATAGTTCCAATTCAAGTACACCAAAAATCACAAATATACTTTTCCAAACCTACTAATTTATGGCCTTAAACAATTCACAATGTTGATAATTTCAGGCCTAAAAACATCTGTTCTATTAATGGTGGAGTAACATGTAAGGTTGATAACATGAGCAGACTTATCCTAATGTTCCACTGCAAAGATGCCTGCTTTCCTATAGAACTCACCTGCTCCGGGAGCTCATTCTGTACATGAAACAGAAAGATACTCATCCAGCTAAGTCTCTGATGTTAATCCATTATGAGATGAATCCCCAAGATGTGGTTATAGGGCAGAGATGGCATCATTTCATCTCCCTCCAGGCCCATAATGTCATTTCTCTTGTGGAAGCAGGACAGCCTTGGGCTTGGAATAATTAGAAGTAGGAACAAACTCAGGGAAAAGTGAACTTTCCAGGTATCTGGAGACAGCAGAGAGCAGCTGGGTTCCATTCCTCTCACCTATGGACTCATTTCTCCAAGGCAGGCCTGCCTAGATAAGTTTTTATCTCAGTCCTTGTCCACAGATAAAAATAAAACATGTACAAGCCACATCTGATTTCTTAAGCTATCCCCATTGCTCCAGGAGACTCCTGGTGCCATCCCCACTTGTTCTCCTGTGATGTCAAGGTCTAGTCAAGCAGTACTGCATCTGTAAATCAGGAAAATTTCCCCCCACCTCCAATCCTACACAGGAGAAGTGATTGTTTTCCCCAGCGGACATGGCCCTGAGTCAGGGAACCTGAATTAGTTGCAGAATGCAAGCTGAAGTAAGTCAAGTAGGGGGGCTGGCATGCAAGTTAAAGCCCTGGTCTGCAGTTTCATCATCCCATATGGGTGCCAGTTTGAATCCTGGCTGCTCCACATCTGATCCAGCTCTCTGCTATGGCCTGGGGAAGCAGTAGCAGATAGCCCAAGTCTTTATTTATTTATTTATTTGACAGGCAGAGTGGACAGTGAGAGAGAGAGACAGAGAGAAAGGTCTTCCTTTGCCATTCGTTCACCCTCCAATGGCCACTGCGGCTGTTGCGCTGTGGCCGGCGCACCATGCTGATCTGAAAGCAGGAGCCAGGTGCTTCTTCTGGTCTCCCATGGGGTGCAGAGCCCAAGCACCTGGGCCATCTTCCACTGCACTCCCTGGCCACAGCAGAGAGCTGGCCTGGAAGAGGGGCAACTGGGACAGAATCCGGCACCCTGACCGAGACTAGAACCTGGTGTGCTGGCGCCGCAGGCGGAGGATTAGCATATTGAGCCATGGCACCGGCCAGATAGCCCAAGTCTTTAGAGACTTGCACCCACACTGGAAACCCAGAAGAAGCTCCTGGCTTCTGGCTTTGAATCAGTGCAGCTCCAGCCATTACCGCCATCTGGTGACTGAACCAGCAGATTATAGACCTTTCTTTCTGTCTCTCTCTGCCTCTATGTAACTCTGCCTTTCAGATAAAAAAAATAAATCTTTAAAAAACTTAATTAGAAGCTTCAGTATTTCTGAAATAAGTAAACACTGATACTTAGTAAATTTAATGTTATTTCATGAAATATTGATATTTATGTATATAAAAGGTTGATATAAAAGGTATAGTCATTTTATAACTATGAATATAGCATGGTAACTTTTCAATTTTAATATCCTACATTAACTATTTCAGATCATGTGAGGTACCATGTTTTCACAATGCAAATATTATCTCGGTTATCCTTTTGCATATGTCTTTGCTCAAAAATTCATTCATTAATGTTGGATCAGTATCTAAAGGATTAAATTTCCAAGAATTTTGTCTTTATTGTTTAACACTGTAGTTGAATACTAAGAGTTACATCTTTGTTAGTTTTTTTTTAAAAACTAATAATAACTGCACATAAGAAAATTTGATCTAATATACAGTCCAGTCCAGTAAAAAATTATATCTCCTTCTTCTTAGTATGGACTGAGATTAAATTGTATCAATTTAAGTACTATAATATTTAGTCTTGCCAGCACCACAGCTCACTAGGGTAATCCTCCACCTTGTAGTGCCGGCACACCGGGTTCTAGTCCCGGTCAGGGCTCCGGATTCTGTCCCAGTTGCCCCTTTTCCAGGCCAGCTCTCTGCTGTGGCCAGGGAGTGTAGTGGAGGATGGCCCAAATACTTGGGCCCTGCACCCCATGGGAGACCAGAAGAAGCACCTGGCTCCTGCCATCGGATCAGCGCAATGCACCTGCCGCAGCATGCGGGCCGCGCGGCCATTGGAGGGTGAAGCAACGGCAAAAAGGAAGACCTTTCTCTCTGTCTCTCTCTCTCACTGTCCATTCTGCCTGTCAAAAAAAATTTAGTCTTAAAATACTCAG